TATTTTTTGTGCTTATAACGTAAAAACCTGGTGTGCATACTGTAAATCCGTGGATTTACGCAAAGTGTGCACACGTTCTTACTTTAAGAACTCCATAAATGCAAATCATATGTTGAAGTAAATTCTTACAAATAAATATGTCAACAATATCTTTTATCATTAACACAGAAAAACCTGGAAACAACAATACAGAATCATTGACATCATTCACCATAATTATGCAAATAAAACCCCACCTATTCTATTATTAGCCAATCAGTAGTGAGTTAACGTTGATGGGCGTGGCTAAAATGTTTTACTAATTAAGCCAATCAAATGGCACAGAATTATTTGCATTTTATTTAATAATACATAAAATACCATACCAGTTATGTATAATTCAAACATTCTAACATGTCCATAACTATTATCATCATTTAATTCAGGCAGTCAGCCAACAACAATCAAGACAAGCCCATCTTGCAAGGAATAGACCTCTGTTCTCATATAATCAAAATCCTTGGGTAATTTTGATTTTCCTAATTGTCCCGAGAATAATCAGTCTCCATCATCTGCAAAAAAAAGCAAAATAGCGATGACAATTATATAAATGGATTACTGAAAATCAGTGATGGCATCAGATGTTTGCGAAAACCCAGTGATTGATCTTTCAGGAACAAAGACATGAAATTATTTGAGTTCAGGTGGATCAGATGCTTGTGGGCAGACAAACCATTTTTTCATATGCTACATATGCATGACCAGATTGTTTAATACATGTATCTAAATACGCTTTGCAAGGGCTATGCTAAAACAGTTTCCAATCAGACATTTTAAGGCATCTCCCGAGACCTAGAGCGGGTACCCGGGTAGGGTCGGGTAATAGGGGGGGGGTACCCGGGTAGGGGCGGGTAATAGGGGGGCGGGTACCCGGGTAGGGTCGGGTAATAGGGGGGTGGGTACCCAGGTAGGGTCGGGTAATAGGGGGGTGGGTACCCAGGTAGGGTTGGGTAATAGGGGGGTGGGTACCCAGGTAGGGTCGGGTAATAGGGGAGTGGGTACCCGGGTAGGGTCAGGTAATAGTAAATTTGGACTCATCCCAGCCCTAGTTCCTAAGATGTAAAGCTGCTAAGACTGCTGTAACTCATAGACCAGCACTTAACATAGACTTCCCATAGCTGTCGCGCTAAGACTGCCGTAACTCATAGACCAGCACTTAACATAGACTTCCCATAGCTGTCGCGCTAAGACTGCTGTAACTTATAGACCAGCACTTAACATAGACTTCCCATAGCTGTCGCGCTAAGACTGCCGTAACTCATAGACCAGCACTTAACATAGACTTCCCATAGCTGTCGCGCTAAGACTGCTGTAACTCATAGACCAGCACTTAACATAGACTTCCCATAGCTGTCGCGCTAAGACTGCTGTAACTCATAGACCAGCACTTAACATAGACTTCCCATAGCTGTCGCGCTAAGACTGCTGTAACTCATAGACCAGCACTTAACATAGACTTCCCATAGCTGTCGCGCTAAGACTGCCGTAACTCATAGACCAGCACTTAACATAGACTTCCCATAGCTGTCGCGCTAAGACTGCTGTAACTCATAGACCAGCACTTAACATAGACTTCCCATAGCTGTCGCGCTAAGATCTCTTTTTGCAAGTGGGTCCTGGTATTTTAAATGTAAGCATCTGGGCCTCATTTCACATCTCATCTTAGCGCTAAGATCATTACTCCTATACTTCAGCATTGACGACAATCATAGCACCAAGATAGCTTTGTTGAAACAGCAGCCCAGTGAGAATCTTATGTTTCATATGCCTAAGTATGAACTTATCTCTCAGCTCTTGTGTCTCGGATTTCACTTCGATAGTTTAGATCTCCTTGTGTGACAGACTGAATCATTTTTGTCAACGTCAAAGTTTAATCCCCGGAAAATCACATGAACAGTAGGATCAATATCCGCTAGATTCACCAGAGAAAAATTGATTTTTCCAATGTACCCATTTGTAGAATTGGCAAGTGAAAAACTGCTTCCAGAGAAATCTTGATTGACACACTCTGTATGATGTCTTTAATCTACGACCAGGTTGGATGTCAAAATAAAATAGGAATGGAACAGGATCAAAAGCGAGGGTTAATTAACTTCTAAAGTTATTTGCAGGAAAGAAGGAGTTCCAACATACCGTATTCGACGTAATAAGCGCCAATGGCAATATTTGCTAATATATTGGCTAGTGAACAATCCCAATTAGCAACCCTTCCGATTGATCAATGTACACAAGACTTATTTATTCGTGTATAATATGCACTCATGTGTTATATGCACCCTTAATTATGGGCAATTAAATTCTGAAAAAATATATGTGACGTATGTAAACATTTCAGGCTGTCAGCATAAACCAGGAAATTAACGATCTTTCAACTCTGGTTTTTTCATCAAAATAATATTCTAATAAGAGCCCACTATTTCTAATTTCTGGGCGCTTATTACGTCGAATACGGTAACTGGTTTCATAAGGGGACAGAAATAGGCTGGATTATTAATTATGGATTAACTTCTTCAGGTTTTCATTGGTAAGAGGGTGGTGAAGTAGGCAAGTGGTTAAAGCTTTAGCCTTTCATGCCTAAAGATATGGTTTGATTCTCAGTTTGAGTACATTCCTGTGTCCACTGCTGGCTGTAATAATACCCTTGTGTTGAGATAATGTACGTATCTTGACAGTAGGTCGTTACAGGATACACTAGATACATGAAAATTGCCATGTTAGAGTGAGTGAGTGAGTATTGTTTTACGCCAGTTTTAGCAATATTCCAGCAATATCACAGCGGGGAACACCAGAAATGGGCTTCACACATTGTGCCCATGTGGGGAATCGAACCTAGGTCTTCGGCATGACGAGCAAACGTTTTACCAGTGGGCTACCCCACTGCCCCCCTCTTTGTCATCAAAGAGAATGAAAAAAAACACCAAAAAATATTAAGCATATTTGAGTTATTAGTGGGCATTTTTAACTGAATCACCGATAGATCTGTGTGTACAACTGATTGCTATTTCCAGCTTAGTTCCCGAGGTAAATACACACAGCAATCTCTATCTCTACATACAAAAGCTGGGGCATGGGTGGCCCAGTCGTCTAAGGCGCCGCGATTCACTGTGCAGAGTTGCGTCCCTTGGGCACGCCAGAAACCTATGAATGTGGGTTCGAATCCCGGTTCGCCCCGATTATGTTTCTAGGTTTGTCAGCACCATACCCGTGCTCGTGGGTTTCACCGAAATGGTAAATGTCTGAGACCTGCATCACTTGGGGCTTTCCTCCCACATCAAGCTGGCACGAGATAGACGATAATTTTTACGGAATCAGTCGTACCTGTTGTTCGGAATACCCCGTGTTAACGTTTTCGAGGTTGCATTGATTAGAAAATACATCCCGACTGTCACTTTCATGATCTGGTAAGCGATGCTTTGATTGGTCGGATGGGATGTCCTCAGATCTTTGTTTAGCTGCAGCGAGAACATATGTAGATTTGATTTTAATGAGATTGATCAACAATGTTAACTTCATCCACTGGGCCATCATCAGTTTGATCTGTCATACACCCCTGGCAGTCTCACAACTAAAACATGAAGTGCTTGTAATGGAGACGCTTGTAAACATGTCAGATGTGTATGGGGCCCATCAATCTAATATGGACAGGTGCAGTCAGTTTGAAACCAGACGCCTTATGGCATCAGTTAGCATATCTCAATAAGTCATAGTGACAAGGCCATAAGGCAGTAGTGTCCATTATTCTCTATAGTCTGGAAGTTAATTTAAGGTACCGAGGTTTACTACAATATGTTTTGAGATGCCCCCTAAGGGATGTGCAGGGGAGCATGTGTTTTTATGAGAGTTCAAAATCTTAACTACGGTTTGTTTGGGAAGCTGTAACGCATGAATTGTTCTTTTCATGTATTTTGAAATGTCAAAGAACGGCGACCGAGCTGAGTTGATTGGTTCAACTGTGTCATATGGCCCTGTGACGCAGGGGTAGCATTATGCAGATGGCTGTTTCAATGAATGCTCTTTCCACCCGTGATGAACAGGTCTGGTTGTTGATGAAATATAGTGATAGCTAAATAGACAGATTTTTTATTCATGCACCGATTGTCGTTAAATGTAATATCCAGTTATGTATGACTGTTTAATAATCTCATACCAACTTTCACTGGAGTAGGTCCGATAGTTTTTCAGATATTGTAGTAAACGTCGGTACCTTAAATTACCTTCCAGACTATACATGTGACCTTTTACCTGTGAAGATGTGGAGTAGTATAGGTCTTCAGCAAGAGGACCGTAAAAGGCGACTAACAGGATCGGGTGGTCAGGCTCACTGACTTGATTGATGCATGTCATCGATCCCAATTGCGTAGATCGATGCTCATTATATCAATCACTGGATTGTCTGGCCCAGACTCAATTATTTACTGATTTCCGTCAAACAACTGGAATATTGCCAAGTGCGGCGTTACGCAAACAAAACCATGAAACAGAGTTATCCGTTAACTAATAACCTATATCTAAAGTTTAGGATATATCAGCTCCACGCAATCTTTATTGACATTTTTGGTTAGTGGGAAGTTTCTTTTAAGTTATTAAAAAATGCATTTTAAAGCTGCTTATTATACATTCTGCTTTGATCAATTTGACCTAATGATTTGTTTGTGAGAGGTTCCTGAAATAAAAACATGAGGTTATTTGCCCTTCAAGAAAACTGTTTTTCGGTTTGAGAAACTAATTTCAATTGACTAAATAGAAAAAAAACAACATTGAATACACACACTAGAAATAGAAGGATCAAAAAGAAATGTGCACAATAACAAATTTTCAATTTGGTAACCTTAACAGAGATGGATGCTTTCAAAGACTTCCATTACAAATTCTAAAAAAAATGGTCGATGTCTTAGAGCATGACACAAATCATTAGCGGGACAGACAGAGTCTGACTTCAAAGATGGTCTGTTTTGTTGCAGGTTTGGCTGAGTTTGGCTAATCACTACATCAAAGACTTGAAGATCGACTGGGAGAAAACTGTGAGATTCGCCTTCAACGAGAGAAGCAACCCAGATGACGACAAGCTGGGGCTGCAGATAGTGAAGGTATTCATGTATAAACAGCCCCTCTTCCCTACTCCAGGACCCACTTGCACAAAGCGATCTTAGCGCTAAGATGATCGTAACTCCCATACTTTAACATAGGACTACAATAGTCTAAGCGCTAAGATCGCTTTGTGCAAGTGGGCCAGAATTGCCGGATCTTGGATTCGAACTCAAGATTCGACCTATGTATGATTCTTGGTTTGTGAGCACCGTGCTGATGGGTAAATGTCTGCATGCTGCATCACTTAGGGAATTTTAGTGTCAGCGCCACCCCCAACCCCCCATCCCCCCATCTTCTGGACCAATATTTATGTTATGTTAAGTACCCCCTCCAAAAAGACCAATTTAAAAATTTACATGACAGTCCATATGTCCTTGTGAATTGTACAGATTTATTTACAGCAAACAGCTGCGCTGAAGGGCTATATAATTACCTAGTAACTATTATCAGAAACGTTTTAGTTTCATTGACGTTTGAACGTGTGGTTTTACTAAGCGCCCCCTTTGTCAAATTACTATGTGTCTGGGTACTGTTGTACAAAACAACCTTAGCGCTACGACTGTCGCAAGTCTTTGTTAAGGTATGGGGGTTACGATCACCTTAGCGCTAAGGTCGCTTTGTACAACGGCACCCATGTGCTCTTATTATGGCGAATACTGTAACTGTTGAGAGTGCCATTACACCAAACTTACTCATTCTTGCCCATCTGCCTTCCTGTGGGTTTCCATGGCAACATGGGTCCACAGTAGGTCATCCTTGACTGATGAGAATGGTCAGTGTGTCACCTAGTGTGTGTTCTACAGAGCCACAACTGTCGTAACTTGTATACATGAACACTGACTTGCAATAGCTGTAGAGCTGAGATCGTTTTGTGGAACAGGTCGCTGACTGATTGTGTGTCATTGTACTCTGACAACTTACCTCGTTCCCCACTCTATCAAAAACTGAGCCCCGTCCTACAAGGCGAACGAAGCGCAACAACAGTCGTAAGTCTATGTTAAAGTATGGGACTTCAGCTATATATCGATTTATTTTTTGTTGGGTAAAAACAACATTCAGCAACTCACTCCCCATAGCAATTACAGTCTCCCAGATCCACGGTCATCCACTCTCACTATAGACATCTTTCCTCAAGTCCTATTCCAATTTTACCTCACAGATGATTGATTCCGACACACTACAGTTTGTCTCCATCGTTATATTCTACTGGGCCCCGTTCCACAAAGCGATCTTAGCCCTACGACCACCGTAGGCCTATGTTAAAGTATGGGAGTTACGATCGTCTTAGCGCTAAGATCGCTTTGTGGAACAGGGCCCTGGTCCTTGGCCATCTCCATGATTGTTGTCGTTCGTAGTATTGGGACAGCGGCATTAACGTCATAACGGTGGGCTTCAGCGACGCTGTGTCCCCGTCGGAGATGGCAGGTGTAGCCGGTAGCCCACACCAGACGTTATTGGGTTGAAGACAGGAGTTAAGGAGGCGGACTTACTTCAGTGGGTTGAAGACGGGAGTTAAGGAGGCGGACTTACTTCAGTGGGTTGAAGACGGGAGTTAAGGAGGCGGACTTACTTCAGTGGGTTGAAGACGGGAGTTAAGGAGGCGGACTTACTTCAGTGGGTTGAAGACGGGAGTTAAGGAGGCGGACTTACTTCAGTGGGTTGAAGACGGGAGTTAAGGAGGCGGACTTACTTCAGTGGGTTGAAGACGGGAGTTAAGGAGGCGGACTTACTTCAGTGGGTTGAAGACTGGAGTTAAGGAGGCGGACTTACTTCAGTGGGTTGAAGACGGGAGTTAAGGAGGCGGACTTACTTCAGTGGGTTGAAGACGGGAGTTAAGGAGGCGGACTTACTTCAGTGGGTTGAAGACGGGAGTTAAGGTGGCGGACTTACTTCAGTGGGTTGAAGACGGGAGTTAAGGAGGCAGACTTACTTCAGTGGGTTGAAGACGGGAGTTAAGGAGGCGGACTTACTTCAGTGGGTTGAAGACGGGAGTTAAGGAGGCGGACTAACTTCAGTGGGTTGAAGACGGGAGTTAAGGAGGCAGACTTACTTCAGTGGGTTGAAGACGGGAGTTAAGGAGGCGGACTTACTTCAGTGGGTTGAAGACGGGAGTTAAGGAGGCGGACTTACTTCAGTGGGTTGAAGACGGGAGTTAAGGAGGCGGACTTACTTCAGTGGGTTGAAGACGGGAGTTAAGGAGGCAGACTTACTTCAGTGGGTTGAAGACGGGAGTTAAGGAGGCGGACTTACTTCAGTGGGTTGAAGACGGGAGTTAAGGAGGCGGACTTACTTCAGTGGGTTGAAGACGGGAGTTAAGGAGGCAGACTTACTTCAGTGGGTTGAAGACGGGAGTTAAGGTGGCGGACTTACTTCAGTGGGTTGAAGACGGGAGTTAAGGAGGCAGACTTACTTCAGTGGGTTGAAGACGGGAGTTAAGGTGGCGGACTTACTTCAGTGGGTTGAAGACGGGAGTTAAGGAGGCGGACTAACTTCAGTGGGTTGAAGACGGGAGTTAAGGAGGCGGACTTACTTCAGTGGGTTGAAGACGGGAGTTAAGGAGGCGGACTTACTTCAGTGGGTTGAAGACGGGAGTTAAGGAGGCAGACTTACTTCAGTGGGTTGAAGACGGGAGTTAAGGAGGCGGACTTACTTCAGTGGGTTGAAGATGGGAGTTAAGGAGGCGGACTTACTTCAGTGGGTTGAAGACGGGAGTTAAGGAGGCGGACTTACTTCAGTGGGTTGAAGACGGGAGTTAAGGTGGCGGACTTACTTCAGTGGGTTGAAGACGGGAGTTAAGGAGGCGGACTTACTTCAGTGGGTTGAAGACTGGAGTTAAGGAGGCGGACTTACTTCAGTGGGTTGAAGACGGGAGTTAAGGAGGCGGACTTATCGATCACAATTGTACACTAAGTAAAAAGTATCGATTCTTACCTTAAATGTATTCTTCATTAAAATGTTACACCAAACCCAAATAACTTGTGAAAGTGAGCAGTGAAAACACCAATATTTTCATCCATTGCCCCATACTTGACAACTGTAAATCGTTAGTGTGCCAGGTATTTGGCCATCCTGTCTATGACAAAGATGGCTTACACTCCACAGATAAGAACACATGCAAGTATGGTGATACGTATCTGATCTTGAGCAAGGTATCGAGATATGTATCGGATCACGCAACTGGTGTATTGTCCAAGCCCTAGTCATTCGAGGTAGCGGAGATGAGGATTAGATGGCCAAGATGTCAGGATCTGGGATAATGTTCACAAGGGAAGACAACTCTTAGATGCAACTCTATGTGCCAACTTGTAGGAAGTCAACGTGGTGCTCAGACTGTGCTGGAGTGTGGGCTAGAGTGACCTTGGTGGCCACCGGTTTGTGTTGGGAATAGTTACACATTCCAGACATTAGGACTATTACTGGTATACTGCGATATCTTTTTCAAACTAGATCTATTGCAATATTTTTTCTGTTCAGGTATTTTGGGTAAAAAATAAAACAAGTTTCATTTTTATTCGTGTCACGTTTAATCTACACAGAAATTCATTAAGAAATGATGCTTTCCTTTGAAATTGATTGACAAAACAGCGGTAACGAGGATGTGAATATTCTCTCCCCTGTATCTATGAAATAAAAAGAGGCATTGACTGACCACGCTGAATAATATTTACTTTAGTATGTTGATTGGTTTGTTGTTTGACGCCGCACTCAGCAATATTCCAGCTATATGACTGCGGTCTGTAAATAATTCTGGTCTGGAACAGACAATCCAGTGATTGATATCATGAGCATCGATCCACGCAATTGGGATCAATGACATGTTTCAACCAAGTCAGCGAGCCTGACCACCCGATCCCGTTAGTCACCTCTTACGACAAGCAAAGTCGCCTTTTACGGCAAGCATGGGTTGCTGAAGACCTATTCTACCCTGGATCTTCACGGGTCTACTTTAGTACAAAATAGGATATGCAAGTACAAATCAGTGTCTGCCACTATAAGAAAATTTAATTCCCAATACAATGCTTGGTGTATCACAATACAAATACCTATATTGTATTATATTGTAATATAAATATTTTTGCAAAGACACAGCCCTACCTATCATGTTCATAGGTTTTCGGGGGCGGTCGAGTAGCCTAGTGGTTAAAGCGTTCGCTCGTCACGCCGAAAATCCGGGTTCGATTCCCGACATGGGTACAATGTGTGAAGCCCATTTCTGGTGTCCCCGCCGTGATATTGCTGGAATATTGCTAAAAGCGGCGTAAAACCAAACTCACTCACTCACTCACTCATAGGTTTTCGACCACATTCATTTTCTCCACTCCTTGTTCCCAAATCACTTTGTCTGACCCCTTTGGTGTGAGCGAGTGAGTTCAAGTTTGGTCTTAAGCTACTTTGAACAATATTCAATCATATCAGTGTGTCAGCTTAACGTGGCAGGAAATCAATAAGTGATTCAGATCTTCTAAGTTGACCATTTTGATGAAACTCACAAATATGGCGCTGATAAACCTAGAATCATCATCAGAGCGAATCTGGGATTCAGGGACCAACGATCATAGAATACTGGCACCCCTAATTGAGACAACTTTGGACAGCAAATTGTGGCACCTTGGCCAAGTGGCCATAGGCTACGCAGGCTCCCAGGAGATGGGAGGGTTGTGACAGCCCAGCTAGAAATCAGTAAAGTTGTTTCTTCAGGACAAATTGGCGACCAGCACACATGAAAATCAATCCATCCTCATTAGACTGTTATAGATTTGTTTAGTTTGGAGATGGGTTCTGTGCTACTCCATTTGGACTGCCCGGAACAAGATACTTCCTCATAAAAGTTTGCTTGTTCATTGAAAACATGTTTTCCTTCTTTTCACATTGATTGAAAATAATGCTCAATGTACTTTTCCAACTGCATCTGTGTAACAGAATTGTATGGTTTTATTTCCGATAACACTTTCCGAGGCTCCATGTACAGCTCAGCCTCTTATAACTTCAATTGTTCTGTTCTGAAATCCAACAGCTGATGTCAACAAAGCAGTTGATGGTATTAGTAAATCAAATACTGATATTATATGCCTTACTGATATAATTTTATCATGATATTTATTATTGGAGTCAATAGTTTTCAATTATTTAATATCATGAAATCAAAAATTAATATAATTAAATGAAATAATATCATGAATGTAATTTAGTTGATGGCGTTTATCCAATGCATATCAGTGATTCTGTTTTTATCAACAATGAATGTTATATTATGATATCAGGGCCTAGACAACAATTACTGATATCATGAAAAGAATGAAAGATAAGTACTTTGGTGGTAAATGAAAAAATGCTTGGACACTGTGGAATTCCTGGTTAGAATACGCCCCAGCAGCCTATGCATGTCATAGTGAGTGAGTGAGTTGGGTTTAACGCCTCTTTTAACAGTATTCCAGTTAGATCGTGGCGTGTCAGCTTAATGTGGGAGGAAAGCCCGAAGTGATGCAGGTCTCTGACGTTTACCACTTCGGTGAAACCCACGAGCACGGGTATGGTGCTGACAAACCAAGAAACATAATCGGGGCGAACTCGGATTCGAACCCACAATCATAGGTTTCTGGCGTGCCCAAGGAACGCAACTCTGCACAGTGAATCGCGGCGCCTTAGACGACTGGGCCACCCGTGCCCCCCTATGCATGACATAAGAGGTGACTTAATAGATCGGAGGGTCAGACTTACTGACTTGACTGACAGCATGTCATATATATGGTACCAATGATGTGAACCACTGCTCATAATGTCCAATACTGGATTGTCTGGTCCAGATGGATTATTTTCAGGCAAGCCGTCTTACAGCTAGAATATTGCTGAATGCGGCTTAAAAACAACAAATGATCAACAGAAAATGTCTTGCCATATGGCAGCAAGTCCTTGGTATTCCACAGCCCAGATACTGATGGTAGTGACTCACTGCCTGTGGTTATGTAAAGCCTAGAGGAGCAGGTCAACACACAAACTCTACCCAGACTAGTAGGTCAAGGTGTGATTGCTCTTGGATGGCTCCGTCTATGCTGGGGGCCATACAGTCGACATGTCACTGTGCTCGTCAGGTTATTTTGGTGTTCTGTTTGTGTCCTTGAGTAAGAAATAAGCTGGCGTACTCTTACGTAAATATATCAGGAAAGTTGGGTAAATATTATTCATAAATGATCTAGATTTTCAATTATCAATAATCATATTTAAGAATGATACTGATGGGATTATTTTTTTGTGAATTAATTAATCAGGAATCATTGTGTTGTCATTTGAAGACAAAATCCTTTTCACTAGATTCCATTATGAACAGGCTCTCGTTTCACACCGAAATTGGCACTTGTCCTGTAGTCCTTGCCAAACTGCCCAATAGTTAAGGTATCTTAACATGTAAAGGACTAGTAGAAATTTGACAATGTTAAGGGTTTTGCAATATGTTATCATAAGGACTAGTGGACTAAATATGTTGGGCGGTCGGGTAGCCTAGTGGTTAAAGCGTCCGCTCGTCACGCGGAAGACCCGGGATCAATTCCCGACATGGGTACAATGTGTGAAGCCCATTTCTGGTGTCCCCTGCCGTGATATTGCTGGAATATTGCTAAAAGCGGCGTAAAAACAAACTCACTCACTCACTCACTAAATATGTTAGTTTCTACTGTTGGTTCCATGTAACAATCTGTGTCCTGGGACTGTTTTAACTCCAACACAACATGGACACCCACAGGCCTGCCGCTCGCTGAAACGAGTCTTATCTTAACTCAATGTTAAGAATAGTGACTAACACAATGTTTTGTTTGTTTGTTTGTTTTTTGTTTGTTGTTTGTTGTTTAACGCCGCACTGAGCAATATTCCAGCTATATGACGGTGGTCTGTAATTAATCGAGTCCGCACCAAACAATCCAGTGATTGACATCATGAGTATAGATCCATGCAATTGGGATCTCTGACAAGCATCAACCAAGTCAGCGAGTCTGACCACCCGATCCTGTTAGTCGCCTCTTACGACAAGTATAGTCGCCTTTTACGGCAAACATGGATTACTTACAACACAATGTGGCAGTATGTATCATGTAGTCCTGGGTGATGGAGGGCTATAGTGTATACAAATCCTAAGTATGAGTATAGGTTTCTATCTGTGCCGACTGCCTCCACGGTCTAGTGGTAGAGCGTCCACCCGGAGAGCGGAAGGTTGGGGGTTCAAATCCCGGTCATGTCCTACCAAAAGACGTTATCAGATGGTGCTTGTTGTTACCCTGCCTGGCACTCGGCGTTAAGGGGCTAAAACAAGGACTGGTCGGCGCAGAGTCTGTATTCTGTGTCTGAGTGGGGTATCTGTTAAACTGCGGCATGGTATCTCAGTGTGCTGGCACCATACATCGGCATCAGTCCGGACTAGTACAAACAGCCACACCGGTGCATGCACGTCGCTATATAAATGCAATAATCTTAATCACGACGTTAAACACCACTTAACCTCACCTCCATCTGTGTCAAAAACATTTTAGTCTACTAGGCCGAAGATGTTTGTCAGCATTTTAAGACTCGAGCTTCGGACTAGTGACTAAAGTTGCACACTGCCATTTAACCATGCATTTCTGAGTTCACAATCTCAAGTAAAGGCAGTTGGTTGGTGTGTTGCTTTACGCCGCACTCAGCAATATTCCAGCTCTATGACCGCAGTCTGTAATTGAGCCTGGACCAGACAATCCAGTGATAGATATCATGAGCATCGATCCATGCACCGTGCACTTGGGATCGATGGGTAAAGGCAGTAATAAAAAATACAGGAGTTCCTGGGGTCCTTGAGGTCGTTGCCTGTGGTATTTGAATCTCCAGACCCCTTTTAACTTTCAAACTTTTGACAAGGACCCCTTGACTTGGCTGCATAATTTATGTCAGGTTTTACATTACCTTATTAAAATGGGAGTCATGATGACTCACCACATATTTGGGGGGTACTTTCTATATTTGGCAGTCATGATTTTCCTGGCTTTGCTTGTGTACCGTCAAATACACCGGGACTGCAGTAAGCGCTAGACAGAAATACTTGCAGCTGATTGGCTGGAGTGTAGTCATGCCAGTAATGCATTGCGACAACCATCTTTAAATAGACAGTGGAAATTCCAAGTTTCTATTCAATGAAAATTATTTCAATCTCATTTAATTCTTAAAGTTTATAGAATTGTATATTTAAAGCAAATAGCGGAGTAGTGATAAGATGGGTATTTTTAGTTTGGTAAATATTCAGTCTGAGTTTAGATTTCCTTCGACTCGTATCAGGTATCTCAGCAAATTATTGCATCACACAAGCAGGATTTTAAGGTCATGTAACACCGTGTTATGTATGACAGTGTATGACAGTGTATGACTCTGGTTGTTGTCAGGACCTGCATCGGACGGGCTGCAGCAGCTACAGCGGCCAGGACAACGAGCAGGACCGAGCGGTGTTGAAGCGAGTGCTCCTGGCCTACGCCAGGTGGAACAAGCGGGTCGGATACTGCCAGGGATTTAATGTCATAGCTGCACTGCTGCTTGATGTCATGGACAGGAAGGAGGACGATGCGCTCATGGTGAGTCCACGTTTCCAGACAATTGTTATTGCTATACTGATTGGGCGGGGGGCACGGGTGGCCAGTCGTCAAAAGCGCTGCAATTCACTGTGCAGAGTTGCATCCCTTTGGCACACCAGAAACCTATGATTGTGGGTTCGAATCCCGGTTCACCCCGATTATGTTTCTAGGTTTGTCAGCACCATACCCGTGCTCGTGGGTTTCACTGAAGAGGTAAACGTCTGAAACCTGCATCACTTTGGGCTTTCCTCCCACATGAAGCTGACACGCCGTGATATAACTGGAATAATGTTTAAAGCGGTGTTAAACCCAACTCACTCACTCACTCACTCACTCACTCACTCACTCACTCACTCACTCACTCACTCACTCACTGCTATACTGATGGCGTGACAAACTGTTTTCGCTGATGGCGTGTCAACATACCCAGATGGCATTGACCGTAGGTCATTATATCAATCACTGGAATGTCTGGTCCAGATGAGATTATTTACAGGCTGTCATCATATCTGAAATATTACTGAAATATTGTAGCATAAAGCAACAAAAAGCAATAAACTCTATTCACTGTGATCTGTCATGATATTTTACAGGTGATGATTTACCTGATTGATCATGTGCTTCCCGAGAGCTACTTCGCCAACAACCTGCGTGCCTTGTCTGTAGATATGGCTGTGTTCCGCGACCTGCTCCGCTTCACCTACCCACACCTGGCCAAACACCTCAACCACCTGCAGAACGCTGCTCAAGATATTACCACAGGTAGGCAGAACAGTTACCTGCAGAACGCTGCTCAAGATATTACCACAGGTAGGCAAAACAGTTACCTGCAGAACGCTGCTCAAGATATTACCACTGGTAGGCAGAACAGTTACCAGCAAAATTCTGCTCAAGATATTACCACAGGTAGGCAAAACAGTTACCTGCAGAACGCTGGTGAAGATATTACCACAGGTAGGCAAAACAGTTACCTGCAGAACGCTGGTGAAGATATTACCACAGGTAGGCAAAACAGTTACCTGCAGAATGCTGGTGAAGATATTACCACAGGTAGGCAAAACAGTTACCTGCAGAACGCTGGTCAAGATATTACCACTGGTAGGCAGAACAGTTACCAGCAGAACGCTGGACAAGATATTACCACAGATAGGCAGAAAAGTAAACAAGCAGAATTCTGGTCATGATATTACCACAGGCAGGCAGATCAGGTACCTGCAGAACGCTGGTCAAGATATTACCACTGGTAGGCAGAACAGTTACCTGCAGAACGCTGCTCAAGATATTACCACTGGTAGGCAGAACAGTTACCTGCAGAACGCTGGTCAAGATATTACCACTGGTAGGCAGAACAGTTACCTGCAGAATGCTGCTCAAGATATTATCACAGGTAGGCAGATCAGTTCCCAGCAGAACGCTGCTAGTGATGTATTACTCATGAAGAGCAGTGACATACAGGTGACCTAATTATGTAAAACAGTAACCAAGGTAGGAGAATATCAAAAAACGGTATTATGTATAGAGATTTGTTAGGATGTCATTGTTTCTTCCTCAGAAAAACTGTTATGACCACAGAGTATCTACATGCTAGGAATGTGTTCCATCACGTTGTGTTCTGCTGTCTAGGTGCCTGTTACGAGCCTCCCTTGACGAACGTGTTCACCATGCAGTGGTTCCTGACTCTGTTCGCGACCTGTCTTCCAAAGTCCATCGTCCTGCGCGTGTGGGACTCGATCCTCCTGGAGGGCTCGGAGATCCTGCTTCGCACCGCCCTCACAATATGGGGCAAGCTGGCAAGGTGAGCAGCTTTGAAATACTCACATACAGTCAAGTCTCGTTAATCCGACACTCGTTAATCCGACACTCGGCTTTATCCGACACAAATGATGGGAACCGATTGATTCAGCGCTATTTAGTCCCGTTAATCCGACATTCTCGCACTCCGACTCCGACACACCTAATTTGCAACGAATTACCAAAATCACTCATTAATCAGTCTCGTTAATCCGACACAGTGGTCAGCGTACTCCGTGGTCATCTGCCCGCGAGTACACAACCCCGTGTTTTGACACGCACTGGCTGCAGAGATTAACTTTAACAATTAACACTAGATGCTGGGATCATAAAGAATTTCAAGCTTTATTATAAAAAAACAAATGAAATTACACCTCGACAATGTTGATGCTGAAGAACCACCAGCCCTAGACGTCAAGCGAACAGGGGACTTTGAGAAATGTGCCTTCAAAATGTGAGAAACAGAAAACACTGACAGACTATTTTAAGTAGATGAAGCAAGTTGTTAAGACAGTAGCACTTGCATTTACACGAGGAAACACACGGTTATTATCTATCGTGAAGATGTCCGATTTTCGATCACAAATCACTTAATTTCGTTAATCCGACATACTCGTTAATCCGACACAGCAACCAACGATGTCGGATTAACGAGACTTGACTGTATTGGAAATTAGAGCTCTTGTTGGGTACTCAAGAACTCGAGCAAGGGTCGGGTTAAATGGACTCGATTCCTACCGTATGTACTTGCGTACCAACCAACTCGACCGTCACGTATTATAGAGTATTATAGATATGGAAGAGAAACGGTACAGTCTCTTGATGCATTTTGACTGATGATGAGGCGGTCGTGTAGCCTAGTGGTTAAAGCATTCGCTCGTCACGCTGAAGACCCGGGTTCAATTCCTGACATGGGTACAAAGCCCATTTCTGGTGTCCCCCGCCGTGGTATGGCTGGAATATTGCTAAAAGCGGCGTAAAACCATATTCACTCACTCATTTGACTGTGGTGATGCAAGAAAAGACAAAATGTTGACTATGGGGCATATTGCTGTTAAAATCCAGGTTATGTTAGGAGTCGCGGAACTTGAGTCCACATTTTTTTTTATCAGTCTGATATCTATTGGAAATGCACTTTCACAACAGATAAATTCTATGAATAGTGTTGTGAGAAATGCTATTTAGTTTTGGTAAGGCCCACTAGGTGTGAGTCCGCATCACTCTATTGTTTGAAGGAAGGACCAACTAAACTGGACCGAGTGGTCAGATTGTGTGTCACCAGGATCCAGGGATGTTGCTCATGATATCACGGGTTTATCTGGTCCATTGGTTTGATTGTTATTATACCCCCGACCTTTTAGGTATAGTTATACCAAGGTTCCGTCCATCTGTCCGTCCGTCCGTCCGTCCGAAAACTTTGTCCGCGCGATTTCTCTTAAACTATTCATTGGATTCATCTCAAACTTAGTACATATAATCTGAGTCATGGAGGGGAGCAGTCAAAAGAAAAAAAATGTTTTTAATAATTTTCCATTTTTTTATGAATTTTTCAAACCCTAACCCTATCCATTTTTTAATTTGAAACTACTGACACACTAGGCGGGTCGGGGGTATTAGTGAGCCACGCTCACTTTTGCCCTTGTTAACCTGTGTATTAGGTCAAGAACAGAATGCATGGTCAATGGCAGCCATACTTTTTACTTCTCCCATCATGCCTCTGTACACTTCCTGTCCCTTAGAACATACACAAAAAGTGCCCCTTAAATACCACAATCCTTAGTATTCTGTTGATAGTCCTGACAGGATCATAAAACAACCTCCAAACGGTGAATTTGAAAGAAACTGCTTCATATAAATGTATATACCGTATTCAACGTAATAAGCGCCCAGGGCACTCTAAAATTAGAAATAGGGAGCTCTTATTAGAATATTATTTTGAGTTGAAAGATCGTAAATTTCTTGGTTTATGCTGACAGCCTGAAATGTTTATATACGACAGATATATTTTTCCAGGATTTAATTGCCCATAATTAAGGTTGCATATAACATACCAGTGTGTATTATACACAAATAAATCAATCTTGTGTACATTAATCAATTGGAAGGGGTGCTAATTGAGATTGTTCACCAGCCAATACATTAGCAAATATCGCCGTGGGCGCTTATTAGAGCATGGCGCTTATTACGTCGAATACGGTAAACTGTTTTATAATTATGGATTTTAACAAAATGTTTTATGTTGAACATAATGAGCAATAGATGACCTCCTGTGTTGTCCTACAGGAGGATTAAGTCGGTGACCAGTGCGGACGAGTTCTACACCCTGATGGGGGACCTGGCGGCAGACATGATCCAGGGGACGATCTTTAATGCTGATGATTTCATTAAAGTAAGAGGACTTCTTTCACTCGTATTGTCAATCATGAAATTAGTGCGAGCATAAAATGAATGCGGAAAATGCAGGTGTCCTTGCTCACATTAATAAAGTGACACAACTCAATCTGGATCTTTTGGAGTATTTTGTCATGTTGGGTTCTCGGAAAATGGGCGAAAATATATAGAAAAACTTCAATAAACAATGTAATTGTCTACTAGATTTAAGCATTGGTGCTCAGTATGTTTGCACAAGTTGTAAAAGCAGATATGACAGTCGCCGACCTTGTATGACGCCATCTTTGATCTTGGTAACCTTGTCATGTAATGTCATTACAAGTAAAACACTGCTCATGTAATGTCATTACAAGTAAAACACTGCTCATGTAATGTCATTACAAGTAAAACACTGCTCATGTAATGTCATTACAAGTAAAACACTGCTCATGTAATGTCATTACAAGTAAAACACTGCTCACCCTTGTTTGCCAGTTAGTTTTTAGAGTCCAAAGGAAGGACTCACATTAATTTCTTGGGCATTTAGTCAGGGGTTGACACTGGCATTAATTTCCTGATTGACAGTATATTATACAGGATTGTCTGTTAATATCGACGGTTTCTGCTAAAGTATTCGCACTGAGGGACCTCCTATATTTAAGGACCCTTCATTATCCTCATTTTTAAACATTGACGTGTAGGCAACAATTTGAGTGCATATTTGGTTTGTTTTACGTCCTTTTAGTTTATCTATTCAAATCTTCTTCGCAAAATTTTTTTTGTTACATTTATTTTTTTATGTTTTTTTTTTTAAACATTGATGTGCAGGCAACAATGTTGGGTAAAACCTATTTAATTTGAAATCCTTGCGACCCAAAATAATACAGTGAACATGTCAAGTTGCCTATCAAGAAAATCCGAATTATCTACTTACCTGGTTTTTCACTATCAACAAGGGTTTCAAACTTATTTATAGTTTACATGATTTACAAAGAGACTGTTTGATTGTTGAGGTGTTTTTTTCTCATTAATGGTGAGTGAAGACGACATACCCCAGTCAGTGTCTGCGAGGTGCATGTGTTGTTTCTCGATTGATCTCACAAGCTCATCGGGAGCACGGGTGGCCCAGTCATCTAAGGTGCCGCGATTCGCTGTGCAGAGTTGCGTCCCCTGGACACGCCGGAAACCTATGATTGTGGGTTCACCCCGATTATGTTTCTAGGTTTGTCAGCACCATACCCGTGCTCGTGGGTTTCACCGAAGTGGTAAACGTCTGAGATCTGCATCACTCCGGTCTTTCCTCCCACATTAAGCTGACACACCGCGATATAACTGGAATACTGTTAAAAGCGGCATTAAACACAACTCACTCACTCACAAGCTCATCAGTCGCTATGAGCTGACATACAGAACTGAAATATTAACATAAATAATTCCAACAGCACCTGACTCTGATATATGGTCTGTTTGTGCATTTTGCACATTTTAAGCTCACCTGACTAAAATAGGAAAATCAATGAGCAAATTTGTGGCACGTCCTTCCGTATGGTTGTCCGTCCATCCTTCGTCAACATTTGCTTTTTCGACACATCTTCAGAAACTAGAAGGCTTTAGGAGTTGATTAATCTCATTTACAAACACTCAAAAAAGTGCCCACAAAATTCTGATCCGATTTCTAATATGGGTGGCATTTTCAAGAATTGGCCATATTTTTTCAAAATGTATTGAAATTTGGCATGGGGATAGTTAACATACATGTACCTTTTTTTTGCGGTATGGTGAATTTTGACCTTGTTCAGCCTTTACAGCATCAGCATTAGAATTTGGCCCTAGTCCTATAGTCATTGCGAAATTGCCCCATTGTTAAGGTATGATAAGGACAAGTGGAAATTTCCCCTATTCAAATGTTTTGCAATATGTCATTATGAGGACTTGTGAGCATGACAGTGAAAATATAGTGAAAAGCTGTCATGAGCAATAAACATCAGTGTATCTTCGACCCTACGACACTCTGGCCTGCCATCCTGTTCATCAACTTATCTGCATGCACTGGGGATCAATGGCAAAAGGTTTTTGCATACGGTTGCCTTGGAAACCAATCTTGAATTAAAAAAGTTAATTTGGAGGGCTGCTGGTGGGATGGTCCAGTCAACATATCACCATCCAACATGAGAATGTTGAAACAAGTTCAAACACGCCCAAATTGTCCACAAATTCCACAGCATTTGACAATTTGACTGGTGTGTCAGTGGTCAAAGCAAAAACAGCCACTGCTTCATCTGTTACAAGGCCTCGTGACCTTCAGCACTTAAAAGAGGGGTGTCATCCTTGTGACAGATTATTTATTTGGTGAAGCTGAAATTTGGCGTGCAGTTTAATTCCTTGTTATGTTTTTTTAATAATATTTTAATAAATTTAAATAGCTGATAACTAATAACACTCAACATTGTTGTAAAGGATGGTACCACAATATTTTTTTATATTATATTGAATCTTTTTATTTTTATTTATCTCGCTGAAGATGTTTGTCCCAAAATAAGGTGGAAGTGTCATTAAATTATTTTTTCATAAGTAAGGTGAACTACAGAGCCTTTTTTTCTACCTACACAATATATGGTTTCAAAGGATCACAATTACAGAACGATGCAGTTAGGACATATCCATTGAGATACAAATATCATTTGAGACGTTTTCAATTTTTCATCCACGGCTATTTTCCAAAGGAAGGTAATTTGACATATGAGATAAATTTCGCATTTGAGAAAAAATCCTTTCTGTTAGTGAATAATACATTTGCATTCATCAACTTTCATTACTTTTAATATATCGCATACTGATGTATGATATTTGTAAATAGCACAACATACCCTGAAGCAGAGATACAGATAAGCTGTGTATTTGCGTAAAATACTCCCCAAACATATTCAAAACCCAATTACTTTCAATTATCTTGCGTAAAAAATGCATGCATTAAAGGAAAAACTCAAATGTATAAAAACAGTACGTGTTAATATCCAATGAAGCTTTTTCAGCATGCGTACAACAGAGCTAATTTCCGAAACACAATTATGAGCTTATTTACATTCTGAGTCAAGCCTATATATTTAGAACTGTTATATATATCTAAAACATTATTTCAGTTTATTTAAATCTTAAAATGTTAAAAAAAATTGGAAAAAAACCAATAGAGTGATGAATGGATGAGTGAAATAATATTGGTCAAAGTTCGCGAAAGATGACACAAAAATGGATGTCCGCAGATCTTTGGTTAGCGGTAGCAAGAACTAAGGTCAGATTTTAATGAGATTGACTGTAATATAGCTTGAACACTGCAACAAACAAACAAGTCCACTGAAATGCCATAGAGCTTGTTCCCTTGTTAGTACGAGTCTTTGTGTTCTGGGGGGACTGGGGCGGTCGGGTAGCCTAGTGGTTAAAGCGTTCGCTCGTCACGCCGAAGACCAGGGTTCGATTCCCGACATGGGTACAATGTGTGAAGCCCATTTCTGGTGTCCCCCGCGGTGATATTGCTGGAATATTGCTAAAAGCGGCGTAAAACCAAACTCACTCACTCACTCACTCTGGGGGACTGGTGGCCTAGTAAGACGACGTAATTCTTTGTGCAAGTCTGTGATCATAGGTTCGAATCCCAGATTCGCCGTGGTTACGTTTTCCTGGTTTTTCAGCTTATACCTGTGCTCTGTGTGAAGTTCACAAAAGGGTAAAACGTCTACGACCTGCATTCCTCCCAGACCTATCTGACACGCTGTGATATACTGTAAAACGTGAATTTAACGCGAGCGTGAATTAAATGCGAAAAATGCGAGTAGTCTTTGCTCGCATTATTAAACATCGCATTAATATCAACAATAAGACATTTTGGATAGCAGATATACCAACTTAGACATACGCTGAAAACAAACAACTATGTATTCCACATCATTGTTTATTGAGCAGCACTTGTAACAAGTATATAAACAATGTCATTGAAACACTAATTACATCCTGTGAATTGTCACTGCTTGGGTCAAGACAAGTGTTCTACTCACTCATGTCATCACTGATCACACCTGCAAGTTCAGACAGACGCCACCCAACACAGTGTCTTTGCTCTTAGCGACTGCGTCAAAGGCCGACACGAGCCAGCGTGCACGTATTGTTTTAGCTGAAGTACTCTACTCAGCGCTCATAAGCGGTGCTATTTGGTGTGTGATTTGATTAAGGTGAGAATTCTCCTGTAAACCTGACAGAGGACATTTTGTTTAGATATAAATCCACTGATGCTTGAGGGGAGGGGGTGTAGATTTTTTGGCTAGAGGCCAGTGGTCGCATTCTTTTGGAGACGCATTAATTTCACGTTTTACAGTATATTGTTCCGAGCAGTGTTTATCCAAACTCCCTCACTCATTCTGGTGTTCTCTTCCTTTCAGTCCATCTACTCCCTATCCCCCTTCCCCTTCCCCCAGCTGAGTGAGTTGCGTGAGAAGTACACGTACAACATCCGACCCTTCACCAACACCGCCAACACCGGCAAGAAGGGCGGGTCTCGTGTGGCCAAGAATGTTCTGTACAGTGACGAGGACGACCTGGACGATGAGGACATAGAGGCCATCACCTGCTTCCAGGGCTTTGTGCCGCAGGGCATGAAAGGAAGGGGTACGTCAATTGTAGGGGTACACGATACAGGTACATCACGATACGATACGTATCTCGATTTTGGGGTCAAGATACAGATACGTATCTCGATACAGCAATAACGACCTTTTATGTGTAAATTTAGAAGCAAACTTTTTAATTACATATCACATTCACAATTATGTGTTCTCATCACTATCAGTAGATTATTTTGTAAAATAATAATACGTAGAAAAGGTTGAATCTGTTTATTCAAACAAGTGTCAGAAACTACCAAGTTTTCGCATGTGTCAAATTCAGAAAATAAGACGTTTCGATTCGAATAGAAAAATCAAACGCGAACAAATGAATACCGAGTTCATTAAAATGTCTTATCGATATAAATTTACATGTATCTCGTTTCGAATCGTAAGAATTATCTACCGATGCATCGGTACAATTTGTGAATCGTGACATCCCTAGGGAATTGTTTACGCGTTTGTGTAACATTGTGCAAAGGATTTATCGGATTAATTTATCTCATAGATAACGCTATCCATTATCTACTACTTAAAAGAAGTTAATGAACCCTAGATTCCATATTGTTACTATAAATATTCTGTCATGCCATCGGGTGTTCTTTAACTTTTTTGAGAGGTATATGATAAATTAACATTCACTTACTCACTCCTACCTGTGAAGATCCAGCTCAGAATCGGTCTTCAGCAACCCATTCTTGCCGTAACAGGCGACTATGCTTGTTATAGGAGGCGACTTACGGGATCAGGTGCTCAGGCTCGCTAACTTGGTTGATGCATGTCATTGCATCCAATAACATAGATCAATGCTCATGATGTAAATCACTGGATTGTCTGGTCCAGACTTGATTATTTACAGACCGAAGTCGTATAGCTGGAGTGCGGCGTTAAACAACAAACAAACAAACAAACAAAGATCACTCATTCCCTGTATCGTTTCAGGTGACGGTGACTTGGGTTCGGGGTCAGCCGACATCTCGGCCCTGGGGCCGGGGGCCTATGGCATCCATCCCGACGCCCAGGGAGCCGGGCCAGTCTACATGGAGAGGATGTGCACAGACATCGGCAGTCTGCAGAAACAGTACGAGAAACTGCGACTAAGACAGAGACAGGCACACATCATCATATCAGGTGAGGTCATTGATTCACTGATGTTTTAGGGCGGTCGGGTAGCCTAGTGGTTAAAGCGTTCGCTCGTCACGCCAAAGACCTGCGTTCGATTCCCGACATGGGTACAATGTGTGAAGCCCATTTCTGGTGTCCCCCGCCGTGATATTGCTGGAATATTGCTAAAAGCGGCGTAAAACCATACTCACTCACTCACTCACCACTGATGTTTTAGACACTTTATGTTGACTCTGTTGAATGGGGATGTTCCAAATCTCAAAATTGGGATGTTTGCAAACATATTTTACCATTCCGTCTATTTTTTCAATGGGGTCCCAGACATCTAAGGTGCCAAAATGTGCTGTGCAGAGTTGCCTCCCTTAGGCATGCCAGAAAACAACGATCGTCTGGTCGAATCCTGAGTCACGCTGAATATGTTTCTAGGGGCCATGGTTTCACTGATGTGATAAACATCTGAGACCTGCATCACTTCAGCCTTTCCTCCCACATCAGGCGGTAGGTAGCCTTGTGTTTAAAGTGGTTGATTGTCACGCCGAAGACCCGCGTTCGATTCCCGACATGGGTACAATGTGTGAAGCCCATTTCTGGTGTCCCCCGCCGTGATATTGCTGGAATATTGCTAAAAGCGGCATAAAAACAAAACGCACAAACTCATGTACTTCAAACTTCTAAATCAAAGTGTATTTTGACAATTTTGCTATTTTCTCCATCAGCTGCCTCTGCAAGACAGTCACCAAAGCCAAAAGCAACCGTCTTGGTCCCCAAGATTGAAAGCCCGCTGGCCATGAACCACCTGTTTATAGGGAAGCATGCTGGAGGCCGCAACAGACTCGTAGCCGAGGGGCCGAAGATTGTCTCTGTGTTCAACCACTGCGAGAAATATCCTCAACTGGAAGGTCCAATCAGGAGGGAAAAACGTTCCAGTTCTGCCAGTTCTGCCAAATCGGAACCTAAACGTGAAAGCTTCAGTAGCTGTGGGACACTGGAGGATATGAGTGAGGGCGTCAGCCGGGACAGAGAAGGCAGTGAAGGCGAGATGCCCATGTCAAGTCCGGATATTATGCAAGGAGAGGATCTGGACTTGTCCCAGTTTGATACTTCAGGGAGTATTGAGGAGAAAACTGAAAATGTGAATAATAATGCCAGTGTTGATATGGTCAGTGATGCAAGACCAGTTTCTAGTGATTCTGTGGATGGGAGGATGGTGGCAGACGTCCATCATGTCGATGCGGTGATACCTGCTGATGCAGATGCTGTGAACTCCGGTGCAGATTCGTTACCCAATGGAGCAGACGTCGTTTCGGGCTCCAATGAAACACTTTGTTCTCAGCCAGACATCACAGTCAGTGACGCGAGAACAGATTCACTGACTTTCGACCGAGGGGTAATGAATGATTCAGTAACAGAAGATTACCCAGGAAGCAGATACAAGAATTCAATTGATAAGGAAAATCTGAAAATGGACAGATACTCCCGACCTAAACCAGATCTTAGGTTAAAGTTCAGTACAAGGAACTCCAGTACATCGGAGTCTGACACTGGTCCCAGTCCGAACCAGATGCACACAGACATGCTCACCAAATTTGTTTACATTGCCAGTAAACAACACAATAACAAAACAAAAAGCTCAAGATCGTCGTCTTCATCGTCACAGTCGACTACACCTACCACTCCGGATGTATTCAATTCAGTCAAGCCCTCATCCCCAACCAAACCTTTCAAGCCTTTCCCCATGAAACAGTTGAACTCGAACCGAGCCAAGAATGGACTAAAATTGGGGCTCTACACAAGCTCCACCTTACAGCAATTAGAAAAACAAGGGAAGCGATCTCAGGGGTCTTTCTTCAAAGTCAAGAATGCTTCATGATGGGATGGAAGAACAGAGCAAGTCTACAATGGTAAACTACTCAATAAAAGTTAGGGACCAACCGATTCTTTCATATTACTAAGTTAAAGAACACCCGTTGGCTTGAGAGATTAACTATAATAATATGAAGAATCCGGTGATCCTTAACCTTTTTCAGTAGTATATAATGTATAAATGATGCTATGGCTGAAAGTTATGTTGAAGTTCCATATATCAGTAAAACCTACATATTTTCGATTGGAAATAGATTTGGAGAGAGAGGGGTGACTGATAGCAACCATATTGGATATTTCAGGAAGTTTGAACATGGAGTTGAGATTTTTTGTGGTGGCATGAAAGATTATTGCAAGACTGAGAGTGTTGACAGTAAACAGCAAAATAAATCAAGATTGTATTAGTACCGGTACTTTGCTGGTTTTTCTATCATCTGTTTTTCATTTCATTACAGGGAGTGGGCAATTTGTACATTTGAATTAAAACATTGTAAATATGATCCAATAAATGATATGAAATCCAAGAGCCAAAATTTCAACTTACATTTGGGACAATCAGGGAAATTCATACAGTTCATCGTCTTGGTATCGTCTGCTTGTATAGACTCCCCATTGTAATTCATTCGCATCATTTAGGGTCCCGGAATAGCCGATAGTTTTTTGTGTAAATTACTGAGTAGTCTATTTTCACAATCTCATTAAAATCAGATCTTAGTCCTCGCTTCCGCTAAACAAAGATCTGATGACATCCCATTACGGGTCACGTCAGACCGAATTTGCGCCAACTTTCACCGACCAATGGAATGACTGACAAGAAGTCGACATTAGCCAATCAGAAGGCAGCTTTCTCATGCTTTACGGAACTAATTTCAAATTGGCCACTACGCTTCGAAACATATGTTGAGAAATTCTCGATTAAAAATTTGAAAACTTAACAAAAGAACATTCTGGAATGGCTAATAGATGGTCTAGATTGTATGGATTCAGTCGTTAAGCCCGTTACTATCATTCGGAATACCCTCGTTAAAGTTTTTGAGGTTGCATGAATAGAAATCACATTCCGACTGTCACTTTCATGATCTGGTAAGCCACACTCTGATTGGTCGGAGGAAAGGTTGGTCTGACGTGACCCGTAATAGGATGTCCTCAGGTCCTTGTTAAGCGGAAGCGAGAACTAGGATCTGATTTTAATGAGATTGTCCATTTTCATTATCGTTAATTTATGCATGAATGGAAGGCCAGGGCCCACTTGCACAAAGGGATCTTAGCGCTAAGATGATCATAACTACTACAACTAGCATACTTTAACACAGGCTTACAATAGTCGTAGCACTAAGATCACTTTGTGCAAGGGGGCCCTGATGTTTCAGACAGGATATAATCATGACAATAACATGTTTTCTCATCGAGGGAAGTGTAAATATGATATCAAAAGAATGTTTTTCTTGATAATGGGAGTTATTGATATTATTTAAGACAGGAGTTATCTCTCATGTATGAAAGATTTAAAAGGTGAAATGCCAGAAAAGCGAATATGAAATATTGACAAATATAAGTGTTAATCGCCCATGTATGAAAGATTTGAGAGGTGAAATACCTGTGAAAAATGGTCTGAGTATTTCAAAGTATGATTGATAATTTGTTAAATCTATTCACCTTTTTGAAATTATATGATTTACAGAAACGGTTTATCCTTAATCAGAACCTAATTTTGGGTGAAGGAATCTTGTATTAGGTTCTATGTATTTCGGAAATTTGCCGAACTAATCAATCTCGGATCATGTTTTGATTTCGTAACACAGCTCAACATCTTCTAATTTATGTTCAAATCAAATTTTCTTCTCCAGAAAAATGTCTTAAAACTGTTATGAATTTGTCCAATTTATTTACATTTGATTCAGTTTTGCATGAAACGGAAAACTGATGATAGTTATCCTCTTTGTAATGCATGAAGTTTGTGATAACCATGGCAACATCTAACAAGTGTACATACTATATACACGTAAATTGTGTTAAGTGTTTAAAACTACACAATGAAAATTGCAGAGCCAGTTGAAAGCATTTATTTTCTTAAGGTGTGATGGATGGGTGAATTATTGAAGTGATGAAGAGGCATCAGGAATGAATATGGCAATAAGATAATAAGTTTTGATGAATGAACGAATGAATATGTGATGGTCCATGACATATGGAAAATATATAGAGCATTTCAAACTTGAATTAATGTCATGTTATTCAAACTCTGCTGTGTCAATGTTGCAAAACAGACATAATCTTGACTTTTTCTCTGCACACACCATTACGACCGGTTCCTTTTAAGAAGAAGTATTTCATCTAAGGCTATACTTGAAGTACTTAGGGAAAAGTTCAACAACAAAAAACTTTAAAGTTGAACAAAGGGAAGTAACTCTTTGATAAAGTAACTGCTTGTCAACAACTGAATTTTTTTTCATTTTATATTTTTTTCAAGGATCTTAAAAGGTTACTTAAAACATCTATGTAAAATGTTATCATTAGTTTTTTAATGGTTTTCAATTACCATACTTTCTGTAAACCAGGTATCAATAAAAAAAGTACTGAAGGAATTTGTAGCTGTACACAAATAAAAATATGTTCTTTTTTTACCCATATATCTTAGGCATCATAGTATGTAGGTCATAAAAAATATTATTTTCTTTGTGGACAGCTATGAATTTCTTTGATTGGCCTGAACTTCATTTGTTCAAAGTAAGTAACAGAAAAGAAACACTTGTTTTAGAAAATCTGTTGAACTATCCCTTACTGTACATATACTAGATAAGTACCTACACTGTATTTTGGTCTACATTAAACTGTAGAGCTGTAGTACTGATATCTGCATACCGTATTCGACGTAATAAGCGCCCCACTCTAATAAGCGCCCACGGCGTTATTTGCTAATATAATGGCTAGTGAACAATCCCAGTTAGCACCCTTTCCGATTGATCAATGTACACAAGACTTATTTATTTGTGTATAATACGCACTCATTTGTTATATGCACCCTTAATTATGGGCAATTTAATTCTCGAAAATATATCTATCGTGTATAATACACACAGATTCTTCTTTCATATCATTTCAGGCTGTCAGCATTAACCACAAAATTTACAATCTTTCAACCTTGTTTTTAATCTCACTAAAATTATATTCTAATAAGAGCCCCCTATTTCTAATTTTGAGAGCACCCTTACTACGCGCTTATTACGTCGAATACGGTATTATAAATTTGAAAGTCTTGTTTATTGAGTTTATGGTGACATATATTGTTGAGAGATAAAATTATGTAATGTAGAAGATATGTATGTTCAATACTTTATTTTTCCTCAATATTTTCTTCTGTTGATATTTAAATTGTGCAATAAGTTGATGTTTTCAAATCAACATGTTGCAATGAAAATTCATCCCTCTATTAACAATCATACATAATGATACAAGAACTTAGCTAACAAGCGCTTCAAAACAGTTGACAATTTTAAGATTGTGATAATAAATTTGTAGCTTACAGGAGCAATTCTTCTCTGTCACCTGTAGATGATTCTGGGTAAGAATATCAGTCCCCTGTGAGTAACGGGATCGGGTGGTCAGGCTCGCTGACTTGGGTGACACATGTCATCGTATCCCAATTGTGTGGATCGATGCTCATAATGTCAATCACTGGATTACCCAATCTCATTAAAATCAGATCTTAGTTTTCACTACCGCTAAGCAAAGATCTGAGGACATCCTCAGATCTTCTCGCAGAGGCGTATCCCATATAAGCGTATATGATTTTAATGAGATTGGCGGAAAAACTAATATAGGTGTAAGTTTTCCATCAATCTCACAGTATTACGTCTAAACTTAGATTTAGACAAGTTTTCTAGTCATATGTTAGATTTATTTCTACTATGACTGTAATTACACATTTGTTCTAGGGGATCTGAAACCTGTTATATCCTGTTATTGTTAAAACAGATACGCATAATGGTTTAGCAGCACTATGTGTTTGGTTTGAAATATAAATATATATTATCTGTTTATTTTTTGGTTAATATATTTTGTTGTTCGATGTTGCACTATAGTATTCTATATTGTTGGTTACCATGACAGTTTGTGTTGAATGATCACATATATCTAAAAGAAGGTTAAGGACCCAATTCTTTCATATTACTATATAACTATATATAGTTACTGTATAATAATGGGGGGCACGGGTGGCCCAGTCGTCTAAGGCGCCGCGATTCGCTGTGCAGAGTTGCGTCCCTTGGCCAAGCCAGAAACCTATGATTGTGGGTTCGAATCCCGGTTTGCCCCAATTATGTTTCTAGGTTTGTCAGCACCATACCCGTGCTCGTGGGTTTCACCGAAGTGGTAAACCTCTGAGACCTGCATCACTTCGGGCTTTCCTCCCACATTAAGCTGACACACTGCGATATAACTGGAATACTGTTAAAAGCGGTGTTAAACCCAACTCACTCACTCACTCACTGTATATTTATATTTACACTCGAGTAAAGATTATATCTGAGGCCATGAAAAAAAGAGGTTGTACTTCTCATTAGAAATCTGAACCGTTTTTTTCCCCTGGTCAAAAAAAAATCATGCACCAACATGGCAGCATGTTATCTTAATTTGGACAAGGAAAGCTAACTCTTTTGATCTTGACAGCAATGATAATCTCAAAATGAAATCTTTATATTGTACAAAGAACATTCTTGATAAAAATTATTTACACGGCCTGTTTTGAATGACTTAAATAGATGATGGGAAATATTGTCTTAACTTTTCATGGCCCAACAACTTATATACAGTAAAAGAAAGTGAATCTCATTTCTGGATTTTGCTCAGAAAATAATATCTTATGGGTGTTTTTTCTTGTCATGATTTACTAATCTCATAACCTAATATAGTCAGACAATGTAATATTTCGTAATATATGTCTTGTTAGTTCTGGGGTTAAAGAAAACATTTTTGAAGCTTGTTAGCCATGGAAACATAAGTGCAAATAGTTAAAATACAAGTCGTAGGATATTTGTGATAAGTCAGTGAAGTGTTTGAGATGTGTTTTATTTCACCATGTTCAATCCAGTCAGGGATACCCTGTTCGCCAAAAGTCCGTTAGACCCCGGTTAGAATAGGTCTTTAACGACCCGAAACAGGCGACTATGCTTGTCGTAAGAGGCGACTAACGGGATCAGGTGGTCACAGTGTAGCCATAAACAACAAAACCTTCCCAGGAGTAGAAGCACCTGATCCATACCCCGGGTATGTTAGGTCCTGTTAGGTCCGTTACAAGGTGCTCACGTCCGTTTCAGGCCCTGTCCTGTTTAGGCCATTATACTTGAAACAAAGTCTAACTTCTGCCCGAGATGATGTAATACATTTATTTATGTTATGGTCTCTGCTTGTGCTAAGATGTGTTTCAATAAATTTGTTCGATTTAAGGTCCGTTTTAACTCTTAGGACCATTAATTTAGTTCCAGACAGGCAAGAAGTCCACACATCTTGGTTGAGATAGTGATTTAGTCTTTTGGGGGACTGGACTGCGAGTTTGACACAACAAGAAATTCGAGACAATGGCATTTTTCTCTTGGTCAGATGTGTTTTTTTTAACCCCAACTTAACTGATTATTAGACTTTCATCCCTGCCAAACACCCTGCCCAGCATAATTTATTTTATGCCCAAGTACCTACAGACAAAGAAAATCACTGTGCGTTCCCATTTTTTTTATGAAATCATACATAGCCTGACCCTACATGCATTTACAGATACCTTCAGTTTTGGGTTGTTGTTTTTTCAAAA